CTGCTGGGAGAGGAGTCGGAGGTGCCCTGTGTTTCCAGAGATCCTGATGGATCAGCTGCCTTCCGACGAGATCAGAAACGATAAGAAGCGCAGGGGAGAGGCTCAGAGCAGAGAGGAGGCTGCAGAAACGATGGATTCTGCTGCTGACACTGAACTGGAGGGGCCTCTGGGCCATCCTAATGGGTGTCTCTCAGGACAGATGAGCCTCAGAGTCTACAGAGAAGTTAATAAAAACCCAATAATGGCCTTATTTACATCCAGCGCTGGGCATCATCTGGCAGTGTTCCCAGACCGGAGAAGGCACCATCGGGGACACAGACAAGGGCTGGGCGCTGCTGTAACAGGCCGGCAGCGCCCCGCCGGACCTCAGCCGGAGCACGCGATTGCGGCCGCACTGAGTCCGTGCCGAGTCCTACTCCCAGCTCCGTGATCTGGGGCGAGTCACTGGCCTGTCTGTGCCTCTGTCTCCTCATCTGTGAGGTGGGCTGATCGAGTCACACGTGTGGGAGCACTGTGCACGGAGCCTGGTGTGGCGACCGTTCTCACGGCGAGGCCCCAGCGGCTCTGCGAGGACTGAGGCTGGCACTCCCACCGCCTGCGGGGAGCCTCGCCTGTTCGCGGGGACCTTGGAGACTAGAATTGGGTGGCAGTGGACAGGAAGTGGGCTCAGCTGTGGACACCACAGGAGTGGCCACTGTCCACGGGTCCGAGGCTGCTCAGCCTCCCTCCAGCCGCGCACTCCTGTCCATAGTACGCTGCTTTTTGGGGGGTAAAAGCGGGGGGCATATGTAATACTTTCAACAATAAAACCTTTTTTAAAAATAAGTTAAATAACTTAAAAAAATAATACGCTGCTTTTGTCCCCAAAAGTACCAGCTACACACCAATGTCCCTGTAACGTGCTGTGTGCCAAAAGTCACAGAGGACTGTCCAGCCACGGACGGAAAGAAAGCTGGTGCGGCTCCAACACGGGCGGTCTTGGAAAACACCCCCTTCGTGCAGTAAGCCAGACGCGGGACAACACGGCGTGAGACTCGCTGGCACGAGGAGCCTAGAAGAGGCTCAATCACAGTGAGAGCAGACAGTCGCCGGGCCCGGAGGGGGCGGTTCTCGTTTAGCAGGTTTATGTCGGGTGATGGAAGATTTGGGGCACAGACCGGAGTGATGGGCACGGGGACTGTGAATGTCCTTAAGGCCACTGAGTTGTACTCACAGATGGTGAAAGTAGTAAATAGTATGTGTGTGTGTATATACAGGTGTCCCAAAAATGTATACACACTTTGAATGATTTTTAAGTCAGTGTTTCCTAACATACAGTTAATTTTTAAAATCTACAAAATGAATACTTTTTTGGTCAATGCCTGTTTTCAAACTGATGACTGTTCTGGCCAAGCACTTCTGTTAACACGAAGCAATGGAATCGCAACATCAAGAATCCTTTTGTCCAGTATTCATGTGCCCTCAATTCGACTGCTGCTGGTTTTGTACTGTCAACTTTACCTGTTATGTATCCCCATAAAAAACAGTCTAGTGGCACTTTAGGATAAATTTTCTTTGTTCAAAGCTTAGTCTGGCTTCACCCATTATTTCAAATCAGTTAAACCTCAAAAGGAGTGAAAATGAAGTGTGTTACGAGCTGTTAAAGTGTACGTACATTTTGGGGACACCCTATTATATCTTTAATCCACAGAAGTCATCAAAGCAGTGTGTGGGCGGGTGCAGCCTGTCGCCAACGCAGGGGCATGAGCGAGCGGGCCCTGGGGTGGGAGGAGCGTGGGGACAGGTCAGCAGGCTGGCTTCCCAGGACCCAGGCATTGCGGACCAGCGCAGAGGGCGGGGCAGGGCCCGGCCCGGAAACAACACTGCTCTATTCCCCTCGCGCGCCAGTGGCTGTAGGACAGGAAGGCCCCTTCTGTAAGAGCAAACGCCTGTTTGGCTTCTGTAACAAATCTTTGCTCCGTCTTCTCTGTGGCCAACAGTGCCCTCAGCAGCTCCGCCTGGTTTGGACATCGGTCCTGCCTCACTCAGCCGAATGGGCAGAACAAGGGCTGCTCCTGCAGTGGCTCCCCAGCCTGGCGCAGACTCGGGGAAGATATAGGATCTCCTCACGTGTGGTCAGGCATCCGGTGGTTGTGCAGTGAACCGGTCTCGCCTGCGGTGTGATCCTAGGTGTGAACTTCTGGAATCATCACCACGGTCCCACTTCCTCCCGCGTCCGCAGCCACGGCGACCACTCTGTCCTGGCCTGCACAGCCCACTCCTGCTCAGGACCCTGCACCACTGTTCTCTCTCTCATTCGCATCTCTAGAGACTCAGATGGCACCGGAGCCCTGAGGCCTGCCCAGCCATCGTATAAAATAGCGCCGGCCCCGCTCTGAGGCGGTCTGCCCTGCTGAGACTCCGGGACACAACAGTCGTGCTGCTATCCCTCCCCGACCTCCACTCCAACCACCAGCACACGAGCTGCACGCAGACAGGGCCTGTTTGCCCTGGAACAGGATCTGCTCATCCAAGGAAGCCAGCACATCCCTGCAGAGAAGAGGCAGCATGCCAGCTTCCACGGCTCCCACAGCTCCCACGGCTCCCACGGCTCCCACGGCTGGGAAGGCAGCTGTGACTCTCCGCTCACACATGGCTCCATCCACAGCAAGTGCCTCCTAGAACCTAAAGTCTAAGCCTCTTTCACAGAAAATAGTTTTGTTTGAATGAGGAAATCGGTGCGGTGTCCACTGGGGAGTGGTACTCGGTACAAGCAGCACGAGGCACGGACGGAAGCCCTGACGGCTGAACCTCGGCAACATGGTGCCAGTGAAAGGAGCCGGAGGTGAGGTCAGGGCTGTCTGAGGCCCTGTGTCTGCTACGTCCAGAACAGGCAGATGTGAGTGATGGGGCACAGGAGTGCGCGCCTGGCGGGCCCGAGGTGCGGGCCGCGGGCAGGTTTCTGTGGCTGATGCAAACGTCCTAGCAGAGCACTGAAGGCTCGCACTGTGTGCGGGAGCCAGACCGCCGCGTCTGGGCGATGGCAAGTGCGCGCTCCGCGAAGCTGTTACCAGGAAAGGTGGTGGCCAGGGGTCTGTTATAACATAAAACTAGACAGAAACTTCTATGCATACAGGTCTCACACAAATTCATAAATTAAGCTCTAGTTATATAAGCAATCAATTCAAAGGCAGGTGCTCATGCCAGCGAAGATGTCACTTCACAGCTGTGTCACTGCTCACAGCAAGAAACGGCAGCCCTGGCACCAAGTCCCGGAGTCCCGTACCGCACACTCAGGGCGACGCTCAGACCGCTGACAGCCAGGACGACCAGGTGACAGCAATTCCGAGGAGCTGCTGAAACCAAAATCTGAGCCAACGCCAGACACACGCAGCCCACAGCCGCCCGGAGCAGGCGGCACAGCGCCCTGCCCGCATCCCACGTGCAGCTCCAAAATCCACCTCCTCGCCAGTGGGAATTCACCAGACGCTCCACGAACCCCTTCTTGTCTAGAAAGGGCACCGGCCCCCACATGGCGGGCACACGCTGTGGGCAGGACCCAGCGGGCAGCTCGGCAGAGGGCCCTGCCCACGGGCGGAACGGGCTGCCTTCCCGGGCCCCTGGGGGAACGGCAAACACACACGTGTGAATTCTGTCGGAGCCCAGGCCCTGGGGCGCCCCCGAGCCCAGGACAGCCAGACCCGCTTTGGGAAACACTGACGTCCAGACGAGGGGCCAGTGATGGCGCCCAAGGCTGTGCCTTTAGCTCCAGGCGGACACTGCAGTGTGAGCTGGGAGGCAGGGGCCACGCCTGTGGGAGCCCCACGCAGAAGGGAAGTCCAGAGCTTCTCTCGGGCGGCTGCACCCCTGCCCTGCCCCATCAGGGTCCGGTGCTGAGTGCGGATAGGGTCCGAGAGATGGCACTACAGGGTGGGGAGGGCACAGCGCCTGGCACGGATGAAAGCGCTGGCACCCCCGTCCTAACTGCTGTGCTCCGGGCACTGGCCACTCCCTGGCCGGGCTGGGGGCCTGTATCCTGGGAGCCCGTAAGCGCCCAGCAGCCCAACCCACCCTGTCCTGTCCAGACTGGGCCTCGCGCCGTTCACCAGAGGACAAAGTCAGCAACAGCCCTTTGCTCAGAGCCCAGGCCTGACTCTCAACAGCTGTGACCTCACCAACACGGCCTCAGGGGGTGGGGGGGGGGGCAGGGCGCTGCGCCCGGGGCCACAGGTGGACGGCACACACCGGCGTCCGCGCCGCGGGATGGCCGGTCTACAGCGACTGGACAGCAGACCGAACAGCTGCTGCCCCTTAATTCTCCCTCTAATTTAATGAGCTGCTCACTGAGCCCTGGAAGCAGGTCCCGGGGACGGAGCTCCTGGCGTGCGGCCACGCGGCTGACAGGTGACGGGAGGTGGGTTCCTCCCAAAGGCAGAGCCCACACCGGGCTGCGTCCACCAACACCCGTTTGCTGCAAAAAGTCACCATGATTCGCCTGCCCGGCCCCACCTGTCGCGAAGTGCACAGCCTGTGGGACTCCCGTCCTGCGAGAGCCCTGGCACCGCCCCGCCTGGCACCTCCTCCTCGCTCCTGCTCGGCCACCCAGGGAACGTTTCCCAGACTCCAGACCCGCAGGAGGGCGCACACACTTCCAGAGCCTACGGCAACTGACCAAGGACATTTTGTTGAAATCCCATATTTGTTCTTAAAATTCCAAGTAAATCTTATCTTACATGCCCCAGGAAAGGGCTTTATGTGTTCACTGTCCGGAGCTAACGAACAGCGTCCTGTCCAGCTTCCCCTAAAGCCGGGGCGGAAGCAGGCCACCCGCTCTGTCTCGCTCCAGCGGGCCCACCACCGGGGCAGGTCTCAGCTTAGAAGCAGCAGATCGGGAGACAGGAGGTGGCAGCCCCCCAATCCCCCATCATTTCAACCTTGGCCTAACCAAGGTCCAACACCCAACTCCGAACAGCTTCCCTCGGAGCGGGAGAGGGTCCCGGCCCCCCGCGCCCGGCGCTCACCCGGATCCGGCGCATGGCAGCCACGATCTCCACTCTGCTGTTGGGCCGCGGCACGTCCAGGCTCCCGACGTACTGTGGGGAGAAGAGGGAGGTGAGAACGCATGTGAGTGTCCCGTCACAGCCTGCAAGCGGCGGGCGGCCTGGGGAGGCACCCAGCTCATCTCCCCATTTCACAAGAGCCATGGGGACACCTCGTCCAGCTGTGTGTATAACAGGCCAATGAACAACGTCCTGCTTCCTGTTCACCTGCTCGTCACCAGCGATGCAGCGAGCGTGGATGTGACTGCGGCTCCGGCCAGCTGGCCTTTCTGCATGCCGACTCCTCACGGGGAGCCGGGACCCCGTCAAGCACGGCAGTGTCTCCCTCACAGACCTGCCTGCACACATTAAAGCCTCAAAAACAACCAGAAGGAAGGAAGGGGCGTGTTTTCTTAGTGAATGGCCGATCCCTGAGCGAGCCCCAGGGGACTCAGGGAACACCCACACACTTGAGGGAAGTAACTGGAGGGAGGAATGGACTAATATTTTATTAAGATGTTTACCTGACTGTAAGGCTGGTATTTAATATCGGAACAACTCACTGTGCACTATTCAAACAACCCAGGAATGTGTGTAGAAAAAGAACAGAGGCCCAGTCCCAGCCTGACGCACAGCTCTGTGCAGACGGACGGACAGACACATGCAGGTGTGTGAGGTTCGCTGCGGGAAAGGCCCACACAGCTGGGCTGCACGCCAGGCACAGCTGGGCACGCAGCGACCCTGGGCCGTGCCTCCCACACAGTCCTCTGAACTTGGCCCTCGTAACTGCGGGCCATCCAAGCCAGGAGGCGTTTCCTGTGGTTACCGGAACACGGTTCTCGCTGGAATGGGGAGCTGACGCTGGCCCAGCGAGCACGGTTTCAGATCCTAAACGGCACAGGATTCCCCGGGCACTGCCCACAGCCTGTGCTAACACACGGGAGCGCAGAGCCGAGCGGCCCGCAGGGAGTGGTGAGCATACTGGTCTGCGGGGTGTGAGCAGCTGGCAACCGCTCAGGTACACGAAGCCCCCAGGTCTCAGGGCGTCAGATCAAACTGTGGTGGGCACTGCCCCACTGAGCTGTGCCAGGGCCCCGCAGTGTGTCACATGTCAGTGGCTGCACAGCCAGGAAGGGGAAGGCCGGGCTCATGACTGTGCGACCTCAAAGGCCCTCCTGTCCGGCACCTGCATGCTCACCTGACGGTCCTCCCAGAACCCGGAGCAGTCAGGACGAGCTGGGCAGCAGGCCTTCAACTCCTGTTCCCTCACCCATCACGTGAGTGGCAGGACCTTAGGACCCAGCAAGGTCACGTTACACATGGCGCCCAGGGAAGGTGCTCCCTCCCGGCAGGAACATGGCCAAACACGTGTGTGACCATGCCTGGCTGGCCATGCTGCACAGGTCCAGGCACACACATGACTGGAATGCTCCCAGAATGAGCACATGTCCAACCACCGTGGCTAGGAGAACCCGCCTGCGGAGAATAGGAGGCAGCCTGGGTGCTGCCAGGGGTCCAGCACCAGTCATCACCCACCTGCACAGTCAGCCCCCACCTGCACCGTCAGCCCCCACCTGCACCGTCAGCCCCACCTGCACCGTCAGCCTCCATTTGCACCGTCAGCCCCCACCAGCACAGTCAGCCCCACCTGCACAGTCAGCCCCCCCCTGCACAGTCGGCCCCCACCCGTACAGTCAGCCCCCCCCTATACAGTCAGCCCCCCCCTGCACAGTCGGCCCCCACCCGTACAGTCAGCCCCCCCCTATACAGTCAGCCCCCCCCTGCACAGTCGGCCCCCACCCGTACAGTCAGCCCCCCCCTATACAGTCAGCCCCCCCCTGCACAGTCGGCCCCCACCCGTACAGTCAGCCCCCCCCTATACAGTCAGCCCCCCCCTGCACAGTCGGCCCCCACCCGTACAGTCAGCCCCCCCCTATACAGTCAGCCCCCCCCTGCACAGTCGGCCCCCACCCGTACAGTCAGCCCCCCCCTATACAGTCAGCCCCCCCCTGCACAGTCGGCCCCCACCCGTACAGTCAGCCCCCCCCTATACAGTCAGCCCCCCCCTGCACAGTCGGCCCCCACCCGTACAGTCAGCCCCCCCCTATACAGTCAGCCCCCCCCTGCACAGTCGGCCCCCACCCGTACAGTCAGCCCCCCCCTATACAGTCAGCCCCCCCCTGCACAGTCGGCCCCCACCCGTACAGTCAGCCCCCCCCTATACAGTCAGCCCCCCCCTGCACAGTCGGCCCCCACCCGTACAGTCAGCCCCCCCCTATACAGTCAGCCCCCCCCTGCACAGTCGGCCCCCACCCGTACAGTCAGCCCCCCCCTATACAGTCAGCCCCCCCCTGCACAGTCGGCCCCCACCCGTACAGTCAGCCCCCCCCTATACAGTCAGCCCCCCCCTGCACAGTCGGCCCCCACCCGTACAGTCAGCCCCCCCCTATACAGTCAGCCCCCCCCTGCACAGTCGGCCCCCACCCGTACAGTCAGCCCCCCCCTATACAGTCAGCCCCCCCCTGCACAGTCGGCCCCCACCCGTACAGTCAGCCCCCCCCTATACAGTCAGCCCCCCCCTGCACAGTCGGCCCCCACCCGTACAGTCAGCCCCCCCCTATACAGTCAGCCCCCCCCTGCACAGTCGGCCCCCACCCGTACAGTCAGCCCCCCCCTATACAGTCAGCCCCCCCCTGCACAGTCGGCCCCCACCCGTACAGTCAGCCCCCCCCTATACAGTCAGCCCCCCCCTGCACAGTCGGCCCCCACCCGTACAGTCAGCCCCCCCCTATACAGTCAGCCCCCCCCTGCACAGTCGGCCCCCACCCGTACAGTCAGCCCCCCCCTATACAGTCAGCCCCCCCCTGCACAGTCGGCCCCCACCCGTACAGTCAGCCCCCCCCTATACAGTCAGCCCCCCCCTGCACAGTCGGCCCCCACCCGTACAGTCAGCCCCCCCCTATACAGTCAGCCCCCCCCTGCACAGTCGGCCCCCACCCGTACAGTCAGCCCCCCCCTATACAGTCAGCCCCCCCCTGCACAGTCGGCCCCCACCCGTACAGTCAGCCCCCCCCTATACAGTCAGCCCCCCCCTGCACAGTCGGCCCCCACCCGTACAGTCAGCCCCCCCCTATACAGTCAGCCCCCCCCTGCACAGTCGGCCCCCACCCGTACAGTCAGCCCCCCCCTATACAGTCAGCCCCCCCCTGCACAGTCGGCCCCCACCCGTACAGTCAGCCCCCCCCTATACAGTCAGCCCCCCCCTGCACAGTCGGCCCCCACCCGTACAGTCAGCCCCCCCCTATACAGTCAGCCCCCCCCCGCACAGTCAGCCCCCACCTTCACAGTCAGCCCCCACCTGCACAGTCAGCTCCCACCTGCACAGTCAGCTCCCACCTGCCACCTGCACAGTCCGAATGGAGTCCCTTAGCTCATCTGACCGGTATCAAGGTGCTGGACTGGACCCACAGGAGCACCTGCAGTTCCTGGCTTACCCCGAGCAGAGCTCCCTGTGGTGACTGACCCGCCGGCCACTTAACTCTGTGAGACTCGTGGGGCTCTGTGCTGCCTTCAGGAGGCCCCGCTGGAAGGAACCGCAGGGTCCCTACTGACATCTGCTCAGAGCCTCTGGGGAAGGGGGAGGCCTGCAGAACATCGGCCTCTTCTCCAGCATCTGGAAGGAAATGGCTGGGCGGAAGCTGCCACAATGCTGGGGACCCCTGGGAGGGGATCTGGTCAGTGTACCTGTGGCTCCACTTCCAGGGGAGCCACCCAACTGCACACGACTCTCAGCCTCTGGCGGCCTCAGCCCCCAGCCAGAGTCAGACCTCGCGGGGCTGTTTCCATGTTCTTGCTCCCACCTTGTGTTCTGGAGCCTGACTTCTGAAGGCAACGAGAAGCAGAATCGTAGTGTCTCCTGGTACATAAATCACAACAGGAAAGCAGCCAGGCATCACCGTGTGACTGTCCCCCAGATCGTCACCACCTGGGCCTGTCAGACTCCCGCCACCCCCGCGGGGAGAGGCCAGGGGAGAGCTCAGTGTGAGGCAGAGCCCAGTGCTCCGGCGGCTCTTCTTCCCCTCACGTGGGCGCAGCTGCAGCACAGATACGGCTCCTTCAAAAGCAAACAGGAAGTCTGGACAAGCAGTGGCTGCACATAATGGACAACTCAAGGGGGACCTACTATAACTGTGACGGTCAGTGTTGGCTCAGCTGTGACAACGCACCACCCTAAGCAAGAGGCCATGATGGGAGACTGGGAGGAGCATGTGTGGGAACTCTGTCCTCGCCACCCAATGTTCCATAACCCAAATGTCGCTCTAAAAAATAAAGGTCATTCACTGAAACAACCCTGAGGCACTGGCATGAGCCAGAGGCGTAGGCGGCACTCAGCCCACATGCAGCTCGCCCACCCCACCCCCCCCAGCAGCTGAGCAACAGTCAAGTGTTCGCCCGGATCCTGGTTGGGGGACCCCAGGGCCAGGACAGCCAGGGAAGGTGAAAGTGAGGCCACAATCCCAACGGGAGGTGTCGCAGAGGGAGCCCCATTGGAAGTACACACCACCCAGCTGCTTGGAAGCCCGTCTGCACAGACAGAAGGCCCCACGGACAGCACAGGGCCACGGCCTCCAGGGGCAAAAGGAGACCACAGTGAGCGCAGCGTAGAGGTCCCTGCATCTCTGCTCCCCACTGTCCGTGTCTCTCTGAAAACACAGGGACAGGCATGGGCGCTCCCAGCACGGACGCAGGAGGGCTCAGCACTCAATGGATGGCAGGCCAGCTCCTGGCTCCCTGTCCAGACCTCCCCAGCTTCGCCTGCATTCTCACCGCCTCCCCCTTCAGGTCCACACAGGCCTGGTTTCTATCCTGCACCCTCCAGACCCTGTCACATTCCTTGGTCTCCTGCCACACTGGGTTCTCTCTCCAAAAACACACACAAGCTGGCAGAAACCTAGCACCCTGCTCATACCTAGCGCCCTGCTCACACCTAGCACCCTGCTCACACCTAGCACCCTGCTCACACCTAACGCCCTGCTCACACCTAGTGCCCCGCTCACACCTAGCGCCCCGCTCACACCTAGCGCCCCTCTCACACCTAGTGCCCTGCTAGCACCCTACTCACACCTAGTACCCTGCTCACACCTAGCTCCCTGCTCACACCTAGC